AGTCCGATGGCTGAGACCCGGTCCGAGGAAGTGTGAGTGTGGTTTGATTTGATTCATGAAAACAAAGCAGCCACCATCTTGAAATGTAACCTTCATCATCAAAGTGTCAATAAATGAACAGCTGATAGATTAATAACTGCTGCTGTTCCTCTCCTCAGATTCCTGTGAACTCTCACTCGACACAAACACAGCTCACAGGAACCTCAAACTGTCTGAGGACAACAGGACGGTGACACGTGTGAGAGAGGGGCAGCCATATCCTGATCATCCAGAGAGGCTTGATGTCTGGCCTCAGCTGATGTGCAGAGAAGCTCTGACTGGTCGCTGTTACTGGGAGGTCGAGTGGAGCGGAGGGGTTCATATATCAGTGACTTACAGAGGAATCAGGAGGAGAGGAGAGAGGTTTGGAGGGAATGATCAGTCCTGGAGTCTGAACTGCTCTGATCGTGGTTACTCTGTCTGTCACAATAACAATAGAACAATCACCTCCTCCTCCTCCTCCTCCTCCTCCTTCTCCTTTGGTAGAGTAGCAGTGTATCTGGATCATCCTGCTGGCTCTCTCTCCTTCTACAGAGTCTCCTCTGACAGACTGATCCACCTCCACACCATCAGAACCACATTCACTGAACCTCTCTATGCTGGGTTTACAGTTTGGTCTGGATCAGCGTCTCTGGTTCCTCTGTAGGAGGAAGAGTCTCCTCCTGTTCCAGAGACTTCCTCCCTGCTGCCCAGAGAGTTCAGTCTGTTCAGGATCACAGCTGATAAATAATTGTAACCGTGTTGTACTTATTATGTGTTTTCACTTATTGTGATTCTTTATTATTATTAATGTCTTCCTTCTTTGTTATATTTGAATATACAGTCTACTCTTTTCACTTTATCTGCACTTTACTTCTTTTGATGTAATAATGTAGATTTCCACTTTTTGGGACGAATAAAGGAATTCTGATTCTGAAAATATGCTTTTGCTTCAGATTCAATATCTTCACTGTGATTCAGGAAAGTGCTACAAACATCACTTCACACACAAATACAGATAGAAATCAAACAATCCAATGTATACTATAGGACAGTAAACCAAAAACATTGTTTAAAACAGGAGAGATTACAAAATATCCATCCATCCATCCATCTTCTCCCGCTTATCCGTGGTCGGGTCGCGGGGGTAGCAGTTCCAGCAGAGAGCCCCAAACTTTCTTTTCCCTGGCGACATCAACCAGCTCTGACTGGGGGATCCCAAGGCGCTCCCAGGCCAGCGAAGAGATATAATCCCTCCACCTGGTCCTAGGTCTACCCCTTGGTCTCTTCCCAGCTGGACGTGCCTGGAACACCTCCCTAGGGAGGCGCCCAGGTGGCATCCTAACTAGGTGCCCGAACCACCTCAACTGGCTCCTTTCGACGCGAAGGAGGAGCGGCTCAACTCCGAGTCCCTCCCTGATGACCGAACTTCTCACCTTATCCCTAAGGGAGACACCAGCCACCCTGCGGAGAAAACCCATCTCGGCCGCTTGTATCCGCGATCTCGTTCTTTCGGTCATGACCCATCCTTCATGACCATAGGTGAGGGTAGGAACGAAAATGGCCCGGAAGACCGAGAGCTTTGCCTTCTGGCTCAGCTCCCTTTTCGTCACAACGGTGCGGTAAAGCGACTGCAGTACCGCTCCCGCTGCTCCGATTCTCCGGCCCATCTCACGCTCCATTGTTCCCTCACTCGAGAACAAGACCCCGAGATACTTGAACTCCTTCACTTGGGGTAAGGACTCATTCCCTACCTGGAGTGGACAGTCCATCGGTTTCCTGCTGACACGTGTCATTTTGTATGCATTCATGCATACAAAATATGCATGAATAAATAAATGTTAAGGTAAAATAAGATGAATGAACAGCCTCAGATCCAGTGCCTGGATACGGGTCCAGGTTCCTGGATACGGGTCCAGGTTCCTGCTGTGCGGACTGAGGCTGAGACAAGGAGTCTTTTTCATTCTGGTCCTTGGTCTTGGAATGACCTTCAATCACGCCTCAAACTGACCGCACTTGTCTCAATAGCATGTTTTAGATTGAAGTTGTCTGAAGTCCTTACCACCAGCTGCTCTTGCAGTAATAAGTCGTGCACCTTTCTTACTGTCCTAATGTGCTCAATGTAGGGACTGCTTTTCCTCTTTTGTTTTCTTAGTTATGTTCTCTGTATTTTATATGTCTGTGTTCTGTGTCACGTTGCTGCCTTCTTGGCCAGGTCAGCTTTGCAAATGAGATTATCTCAATGCTTTTATCTGGTTAAATAAAGGTTAACTAAAAAATAAAAATACGTTACATTAATTTGTTATTGGTTTTGTTCACATACTTATTTGATTATTAAAATGTAAACAAATCTTTGTTATGGGTGTTTAAAGTTGTACCCCAGCCTAGATCTACTGTCTAGTAATTGGGCGCTCAAAGTGCACCAGCTTGAAGCATTTTACTTTAAAATGTTAATGTTACAACATTTCTTTCCGGGGGGTATGTGACATCCACCCCCCAATTAAAACATGTTCATACAATACTAAATACATTTGAAGCCTTTTTATACAAGCTGTCCACCATGTCAATACGTTTCTCTTTTTGTAGTGTATTGGTCTTTTGTAGAGGTTTTTCATTGCCAGCTAAAATCTTGCCTAGGGCAGCAAACTGGTCAGAACCGGCCCTGAAGTGTTAGAAGATGTGCGAAGAGATTTTGGTAAAACTTTAGGACAGGGAAGTTATTTATTATTTTAGTTTTACATGTTTCGGTGTTGCACTTTGTAGACTGTCCCTGCAGAGAGAAGTCGCGCAGCTTAATTATTATTATAACTGACATCGTGATCATGTGACAGATGAGCAGCAGCAGAGCTCATAACATGTCCTATAAAGTAGACATTCTGTATAGATCTTAAACTCTGTTGGCAGTAAAATAATAAACTTCTAATATATACAAGGCCGGATTAGTACCTCCAGGGGCCCCTGGGCACTGAGCGCTCATGCCCCCCCCCCCCCCCCCAACCCCCGTACCAACAAGTAACACCACGCCTACCCAATTCTACCAACATGACCAATATTTAGAATTGTCAGTCAATCTGGCATGTCAAATCGCACACCTATTTGTCAAAAGCAGGGACGCAGCCACATAGTTCAACCAAAGTAGGTCTAGCCTTTTGCCCTCTGTAGTGGAAATTTCTATTATATCCTTATATGTTCAAAGTAAATGCTTCTCATTTGGTTAGATGTGCTGTTTGCCTCTATCTACTCTACTTCAAGGCCACAGCTGCTATTATGTTGAGACTCACACATAGTCACACGAGAACTTGCCTTTCCTGAGATCTACAGCTCAAGGACATGTGTCTAATAACAATGTGACCGTGTGAAGACAGATTTCCTACCTTCTCACCATTTCTGCTATATAAGCCTTGCTACTATATTGAACTGCGCACACTCGCGCAGACTATTCTATACTCTGTGAGACCTGTGTCTATATTTTATTGTATCTAATGTTTATCTGAAGCTTCAAATAAAATCACCAGAAAGACAACTCTGTCTGATTCACCATTTATTTGAAATTGATCACTCTGACTTGTACTCTCCAGTGTGTTGCGACTTTGGATTTACATAACAATTGGCGCTGCGAGCAGGGTCTCTGCAAGTTCGATTGGGAACACCTACGGACGCTGGTGGTCACTCCAGGATCCTCGGATTCTCCTCTACCTCGACAGAAACCGTACGGGATGAGAGGACCAGCGCCGGGGGTGGAACCGATTGACTTCACGAGATGTGTGATGGAAGATAATGTGTGTGTGTGTGTGTGTGTGTGTGTGTGTGTGTGTGTGTGTGTGTGTGTGTGTGTGTGTGTGTGTGTGTGTGTGTGTGTGTGTGTGTGTGTGTGTGTGTGTGTGTGTGAGTGAGTGAGAGAGAGAGAGAATGTGTGTGTGTGAGAGACAGTGGACCTTACCTTTTAGAAGTATTTCTTCCTTGCCTTTCTCTTTGAAAAGTCTGTGATTAGTTCACCAAAATCCAAGGCTAGAGGCTAACATTGCTCGCTATCTCAACAACATCCTCCATGACTGCCGCCACTGTTCCTTGTGGTTGCTGGCCTATTTCGTCACTTTTTGCTTTTTTGAAAAAGCTATTTATTGTTGGGAAATGTTTTAATGCAGCCACCACTCTCTCTTCTTTGTCTTTCTTTTCGCAGCCCCGCTGGGCGTATGGCTGCTACCGGCACCATCCTTTTTTCAGCTCACGTGACAAAATGTGACATGAGTGAGGGTGGGGCTGTGATTCAGCTATACACCGCCGCCGCGTTGTAATAAAGTTGAGCGCATACATCGTGAGACACAGAGACAGTTTAGAAAATATATTAATTTGACCCTATAGAAAAGCTGTGTTATTTACGGTGAAGAGTGAGTGTCATTTAAAACAATGTATGATGAGTGAGGTTGTGCCCGAAAAAGAAACACAAGTTGTGTCACTGAGGGCCCTCTTTGCACAAGGGGCCCCTGGGCACTTGCCCAGGTTGCCCATATGGTTAATCCGGCCTTGAATATATACTGAAGACGGTTGGGGTTTAAGGAAGGCAGTCAAGCTTGGCTGTGATTGGTTGTTCGTCGTCACATGACAAGCGGCCCCGTTCAAAAAGTTAAATGTGGTTTAGATGAAGAAACTGTAAAACGTGTCCTATGTCATTAAATATTAAAGACACACAGAGAAACACACCAAAGAGACAATGTGGGGTGGGTCTGCTTAATCTCAGGAACCTGTTAGTGTTGAGGAGGATGAATATAAAGCCTGATTTGAGTGTCGTAATGTTTCCACAGGGTCGCTACAGTATTTAAGAAAACTGAATTGATGAAGAGGATGTCCTTTTTATTGTTCTACTCTTTATAATACCTCTAGAATGTGAACTACGTATATTTCTGATCCACTCCGGAACAGAAGGGTGGCGGCAATGCACCGTGAAGCTGGATGCTAACCGCTGTAAAACCCAAAGAAGACGAAGAAGAAGTCTTCGGACCGTTGATTCTGCGACACCAGTTTCCGGTGTGGTGCAGCTCGTTGCTCCCTCGCATTGGATGTAGTTTGATTTAAACTACAAAAAAAAAACATTGTGCAGCTCCACTTTCCTCCATAACTGACTGAGAATCAGTTATAACACTTTCACCGAAGGAGGAGAGACAACCAGGCCGCCAAGATGCCGAGAATCATGATTAAAGGAGGCGTGTGGCGCAACACGGAGGTTTGTGTTTACATGAAGCTAACATGATGCTAACAATGCTAACAACTCTTAGTAAACCAATGGGAATGAGTTAGCCCGATGCTAACTGCTGCGTTAGCACGTCGCTAACAACTCATAGTAAACCAATGTGACTGAATTAGCATGAAGCTAACTGCTCACTCAACGGGAAATTAGCCCGCGTAGCTAAATATAAAGAGATATAGATATATAAATCAGATGTGGCAGAAGTACTCAGATCTTGTACTTGAGTAAAAGTAGAAGTACTCAGGTCTTGTACTTGAGTAAAAGTAGAAGTACTCAGGTCTTGTACTTGAGTAAAAGTAGAAGTACTCAGGTCTTGTTCTTGAGTAAAAGTAGAAGTACTCAGATCTTGTACTTGAGTAAAAGTAGAAATACTCAGATCTTGTACTTTAGTAGAAGTACCAGAGTGTAGGAATACTGTAGTCGTTGTTTGATTGGTCCATTTCAGAATAATATATATGATATGTTTTATAATGATTGATCATGAAAGTGTTCTCAAAGCTGGTGAAGGTGCAGCTAGTTTGAAGTACTTTGTATTCTGCAGGGTAGCTGGAGGATTTACTCCAGGTGGAACTAAAGTCTGATTCAACACTTGATTATATTTCACATCATTCATCCAGATCTGTGAAGTAACTAAAGGTATTAAATACATGTAGTGGAGGAGAAGTACACAGTAGCATAACATGGAAATACTCGAAGTAAAGTACAAGTACCTAACAATTGTACTTAAGTACAATACTTGAGTAAATGTACTTGGTTACTTTACACCTCGGTAAAGATGTTAGTACGGACGTATGTAGAACTGAGTTTAAAGATGATATTGATGAGATATTTAAAGGCAGAGTATTATATTCAGAGGGAGCTTTAAACATCAAGGCTGTGTTTGGTGAATAAAGTACAACTACTTCTAAATGGGTTATATTTAAACATATTATTTAAAGGTGAAACGATGTAGGAGTCCAGGTAAAGAGTGTTAGACTTTGTGTCCTGAACTCTTCTTGTGTTTGCTGTTAGTTGTTAATCACCTTTCAGTCGGATTGAAGGGATTAACAGAACCAGGACCGTGGCCAGGTTCCAGGTTCCAGCTTTCATTTCTGTCTCTGCGTTTTCCTTTCCTCCCAGGATGAGATCCTCAAGGCGGCCGTGATGAAATATGGGAAAAACCAGTGGTCTCGAATCGCCTCCCTGCTGCATCGCAAGTCTGCCAAACAGTGTAAAGCTCGATGGTGAGTCTTCCTGTTACTAACACATGTGATGGTGTCTCGTCCCAGCTCGTCCCTGGGTAAGGGAAGTGCTGGGGAACACTGAGTGTCCTCCTCCAACATGAGAGTAACATGATGACAAAGGTATCAACTGCAGCTGTGAACAGGATGTGTGATGACCTAGAAGAGCATCAGGACTCTTTGAGGCAGATGATAGCTCTGTGATTAACATGATGATTCAGCCTCTATGGAGAGAGACATCAAGCATGCTCATTTCTGACGTGGAGCTAATCTGAAGTAAACATTGAATACTGCTTTCTATTCCTCCATCTTGTGACTGTGTAACTCCCTCTCTTGATATCAGCATGTGAAGGACACTGCTCAGGAGCTAGTCTCTGTATGTGATGACTCATTCTGGAGAGGATCACAGACACATGGATCCTGAGATGAAGATCAACATTTTTACGTATTCAGAAAAAGTCAGAATTTTCCAAAAAAAATCTGAATTTTGAGAAAGAGTTAGAATTGAGTTTCTGTTTTCTCTGCTGTTCTGAAGTGTTGGTGAGGTTTCATATATGTTCGGTCACATTTGCGTTCAAAGTGGAAAAATCAAAATAACAATCCTATCGATATCAATAATGAATTTGCGCGTGTTGTGTGTTTCTGTGCTTTCCCTTTGTTTTGGTGTGTTATTTTTACAACAGGGTCTTCGCCGACCTCTGGTCTCAGACCCTACAAATAATAATCCTCTCGATATCAATAATGTAGCGAGCATAGCGACATGAGCTCCCTACTGTCATGACTTCGGCCCCCTTTTCCTTCGCCCGTGGTTTTCCCTGTGTTTTGCCGCTCCACGAAACACATCCTTTGTCCCAGTGTGATCTCCTGTTCACATGCCTCTGTGTTCTCTGTGTCTGCCTGCAGGTACGAGTGGTTGGATCCCAGCATCAAGAAGACAGAATGGTCCCGAGAAGAGGAGGAGAAGCTGCTGCATCTGGCCAAGCTGATGCCCACCCAGTGGAGGACCATCGCTCCCATCATCGGACGCACCGCCGCCCAGTGCCTGGAGCACTACGAATACCTGCTGTAAGACCTCATGTTCTGCTCAGCATTCATACTGCATAGGTTTCAAGTTTATAATTATACTGTGAGATCAAAGCTGTGCATCTGTCAGGGGGTCCGCGGGGTCTTAAAAAGTATTAAAAGTTGAATCAATTTAGCAAAAATTAAGGCTATTAAACGGCATTTTCCAAGGTGTTACATTTTGTAGCTTGTTTTCAATAAGTATATAAATGGTCCAGAGAGGTTGTATTCTACAGTCTGCCTGAATGTAGTCATGGCGTAGGTGTGTAGTGATTCTGTGTAGTTTATTGATGGCATCCCGTTGGGTGTGACGTCATCTGAACAGGACATCGCACGCTCACTGCTTGATAGCGTGAAGGTCCGTTTATGCCGGTTGCTAAGCAACATCGTTATGGGGAAATGCAAGTCTGCGTCCAAATGGTTGGAAGATGAAGGAGGAAGGACAATCAATACTGTATACAGTCAATGTGAGGTAAAGGGTGTCGCCAAGGTAACCGGTTAGAACTCCAAGTGGAGATGAGGTCTTAAAATGTATGGAAAGGGTCTTACAAGTTATTAAATTGGACAGGATTCCTGCATAGACCCTGAAATGCACACTTACTAGACCCTCCAGAAAAACGCGATTCTGCGATTGCAGAATTTACCGCAAAATGGCACAGATTTTTAAAAGGCCGCATATTTATCAAAAGGCCGAATAATCCCCGCATTTTTCCACAAAGTTGAGGGGAAAAAAGTTAACTCGTCTTGACGTGAAGTGATGATGATGATGATGATGCGACGTCATCAGCTCGCGCATCACAGAAGGCAAACAACACCATAGAGTGAACGTGTGGAGCTCACACGAGAGAGAAAACACCAAGATGAACAAATCTAATCCATCTCATTTACCCACGAACATTTCTGCTAAAGGCAAAGCAGTTCCCCGAAACTATTCTGCACCCCGTGCAACTGTGTGTTGGAGCATAAGAGAACATCGACGGTGACGACCCACTTTGATTCATTCAAACATTCGTACACGCTTTCTGCTGCTCCGGACAAGAACGCCAAACAACTTACGTTCACCGAGGCATCGACCTCCAAAACCCTTTGAGGGCTACAAGACACGAGATGAGCAGCCTACAAGATTGAAGCTGGTCAGATAACGAACATGAAATGAAATGAAAACAGAATGAGGCGGAGAAGTGTGTGTGTGTGTGTGTGTGCGTGAGAGAGAGAGAGTGTGATTAAAATAGCCCAATTTCTTTTACAATAAATAAACATTGAATGTGTTTAATTGTATAGTAAAGGGGTTTAACGTTAGTGGCAGGTTGAGAGAGAATAAATAAATAAGAATGAATAAACAAAATTGTAAATACATTTTTCCGCATATTTCACGGCATTAAACCACATAAACCACATTAAACCACATAAACCACATAAACCCCGCATGTTTGATCACATAATCAAGGATTTTTGCCCGCGTTTTTCTGGAGGGTCTAACTTACAGTCTAAACAATTTAAATGTACAAAACTGTATACATGTAGTGTGTTTCTAACTGTGTTCATAAAGGGTTTTAGGAACCAAAGGTTATCACACTATCTGAAGCTCTTTAATTAAGTGTGTTATATATATGTGTGTGTGTTCAGAGACAAGGCAGCACAAAAGGATAATGAGGAGGAAGTGGGAGACGACCCCAGGAAGTTAAAACCAGGAGAGATCGATCCGAACCCTGAAACTAAACCTGCCCGACCCGACCCGGTGGACATGGACGAAGGTATCTTCTTCATGTCTCTTCTACATCAACATGTGTCCCCTCTTCTTCATGTCTCTTCTACATCAACATGTGTCCCCTCTTCTTCATGTCTCTTCTACATCAACATGTGTCCCCTCTTCTTCATGTCTCTTCTACATCAACATGTGTCCCCTCTTCTTCATGTCTCTTCTACATCAACATGTGTCCCCTCTTCTTCATGTCTCTTCTACATCAACATGTGTCCCCTCTTCTTCATGTCTCTTCTACATCAACATTGTCCTCTCTTCTTCATGTCTCTTCTTCATCAACATGTGTCCCCTCTTCTTCATGTCTCTTCTACATCAACATGTGTCCTCTCTTCTTCATGTCTCTTCTAAATCAACATGTGTCCCCTCTTCTTCATGTCTCTTCTACATCAACATGTGTCCCCTCTTCTTCATGTCTCTTCTACATCAACATGTGTCCCCTCTTCTTCATGTCTCTTCTACATCAACATGTGTCCCCTCTTCTTTCATGTCTCTTCTACATCAACATGTGTCCCCTCTTCTTCATGTCTCTTCTACATCAACATGTGTCCCCTCTTCTTCATGTCTCTTCGACATCAACATGTGTCCCCTCTTCTTCATGTCTCTTCTACATCAACATGTGTCCCCTCTTCTTCATGTCTCTTCTACATCAACATGTGTCCCCTCTTCTTCATGTCTCTTCTACATCAACATGTGTCCCCTCTTCTTCATGTATCTTCTACATCAACATGTGTCCCCTCTTCTTCATGTCTCTTCTACATCAACATGTGTCCCCTCTTCTTCATGTCTCTTCTACATCAACATGTGTCCCCTCTTCTTCATGTCTCTTCTTCATCAACATGTGTCCCCCTCTTCTCCATGTCTCTTCTACATCAACATGTGTCCCCTCTTCCTCATGTCTCTTCTACATCAACATGTGTCCCCTCTTCTTCATGTCTCTTCTACATCAACATGTGTCCCCTCTTCTTCATGTCTCTTCTACATCAACATGTGTCCCCTCTTCTTCATGTCTCTTCTACATCAACATGTGTCCCCTCTTCTTCATGTCTCTTCTACATCAACATGTGTCCCCTCTTCTTCATGTCTCTTCTACATCAACATGTGTCCCCTCTTCTTATGTCTCTTCTCATCAACACGTGTCCCCTCTTCTTTATGTCTCCTACATCAACGTGTGTCCCCTCTTCTTCATGTCTCTTCTACATCAACATGTGGCCCCTTCTTCTTCATGTCTCTTCTACATCCAAACATGTGTCCCCTCTTCTTCATGTCTCTTTCTACATCAAACATGTGTCCCCTCTTCTTCATGTCTCTTCTTCACATCAACATGTGTCCCCTCTTCTTCATGTCTCTTCTACATCACATGTGTCCCTCTCTTCTTCATGTCTCTTACATCAACATGTGTCCCTCTCTTCTTCATGTCTCTTCTACTCAACAGTTGTCCCCTCTTCTGCATGTCTCTATCCTACATCACAGGGTGTCCCCCTCTTCTTCATGTCTCTTCTACATCAACATGTGTCCCCTCTTCTTCATGTCTCTTCTCTACATAACATGTGTACCCTCTGCTCCATGTCTCTTCTACATCAACATGTGTCCCCTCTTCTTCATGTCTCTTCTTCATCAACATGTGTCCCCTCTTCTTCATGTCTCTTCTACATCAACAATGTGTCCCTCTCTTCTTCATGTCCTCTTCTACATCAACATGTGTCCCCCTCTTCTTCATGTCTCTTCTACATCAACATGTGTCCCCTCTTCTTCATGTCTCTTCTACATCAACATGTGTCCTCTCTTCTTCATGTCTCTTCTACATCAACATGTGTCCCCTCTTCTTCATGTCTCTTCTACATCAACGTGTGTCCCCTCTTCTTCATGTCTCTTCTACATCAACGTGTGTCCCCTCTTCTTCATGTCTCTTCTACATCAACATGTGTCCCCTCTTCTTCATGTCTCTTCTTACATCAACATGTGTCCCCTCTTCTTCATGTCTCTTCTACATCAACATGTGTCCCCTCTTTTCATGTCTCTTCTTACATCAACATGTGTCCCCTCTTCTTCATGTCTCTTCTACATCATAAATGGTGTCCCCCTCTTCTTTCATGTCCTCTTTCACATCAACATGTGTCCCCGTCTTCTTCATGTCTCTTCTACATCAACATGTGGTCCCCCTCTTCTTCATGTCTCTTCTTACAATCACATGTGTCCCCCTCTTCTTCATGTTCTCTTCTACATCAACATGTGGCCCTCTCCTTCTTCATGTCTCTTCTAAATCAAACATGTGTCCCTCTCTTCTTCATGTCTCTTCTACATCAACATGTGTCCCCTCTTCTTCATGTCTCTTCTACATCAACATGTGTCCCCCTCTTCTTCATGTCTCTATGTCCTCTTCTACCATCAACATGTGTCCCCTCCTCTTCATGCTATTCTACACAACATGTGTCCCCTCTCTTCATGTCTCTCACAACATGTGTCCCCTCTCTTCATGTCTCTTCTTCTACATAACATGTGTCCCCGTCTTCTTCATGTCCTTCTTCTACATCAAACATGTTGTCCCCTCTTCTTCACGTCTCTATTACATCAATGTGTCCTCCTCTTCCGATCTTCTTCTTCATCAACATGTGTCCCCTCTTCTTCATGTCTCTTCTACATCAACATGTGTCCCCTCTTCTTCATGTCTCTTCTACATCAACATGTGTCCCCTCTTCTTCATGTCTCTTCTACATCAACATGTGTCCCCTCTTCTTCATGTCTCTCTACATCAACATGTGTCCCCTCTTCTTCATGTCTCTTCTCTACATCAACATGTGTCCCCTCTTTCTTCATGTCTCTTCTACATCAACATGTGTCCCCTCTTCTTCATGGTCTCTTCTACATCAACATGTGTCCCCTCTTCTTCATGTCTCTTCTACATCAACATGTGTCCCCTCTTCTTCATGTCTCTTCTACATCAACATGTGTCCCCTCTTCTTCATGTCTCTTTCTACATCAACATGTGTCCCCTCTTCTTCATGTCTCTTCTACATCAACATGTGTCCCCTCTTTCTTCATGTCTCTTCTACATCAACATGTGTCCCCTCTTCTTCATGTCTCTTCTTCATCAACATGTGTCCCCTCTTCTCCATGTCTCTTCTACATCAACATGTGTCCCCTCTTCTTCATGTCTCTTCTACATCAACATGTGTCCCCTCTTCTTCATGTCTCTTCTACATCAACATGTGTCCCCTCTTCTTCATGTCTCTTCTACATCAACATGTGTCCCTCTTCTTCATGTCTCTTCTACATCAACATGTGTCCCCTCTTCTTCATGTCTCTTCTACATCAACACGTGTCCCCTCTTCTTTATGTCTCCTCTACATCAACGTGTGTCCCCTCTTCTTCATGTCTCTTCTACATCAACATGTGTTCCCTCTTCTCCATGTTTCTTCTTCATCAACATGTGTCCCCTCTTCTTCATGTCTCTTCTACATCAACATGTGTCCCCTCTTCTCCATGTCTCTTCTACATCAACATGTGTCCCCTCTTCTTCATGTCTCTTCTTCATCAACATGTGTCCCCTCTTCTTCATGTCTCTTCTACATCAACATGTGTCCCCTCTTCTTCATGTCTCTTCTACATCAACATGTGTCCCCTCTTCTTCAGGTCTCTTCTTCATCAACATGTGTCCCCTCTTCTTCATGTCTCTTCTACATCAACATGTGTCCCCTCTTCTTCATGTCTCTTCTACATCAACATGTGTCCCCTCTTCTTCATGTCTCTTCTACATCAACATGTGTCCCCTCTTCTTCATGTCTCTTCTACATCAACATGTGTCCCCTCTTCTTCATGTCTCTTCTACATCAACATGTGTCCCCTCTTCTTCATGTCTCTTCTACATCAACATGTGTCCCCTCTTCTTCATGTCTCTTCTACATCAACATGTGTCCCCTCTTCTTCATGTCTCTTCTACATCAACATGTGTCCCCTCTTCTTCATGTCTCTTCTTCATCAACATGTGTCCTCTCTTCTTCATGTCTCTTCTACATCAACATGTGTCCCCTCTTCTTCATGTCTCTCCTACATCAACATGTGTCCCCTCTTCTTCATGTCTCTCCTACATCAACATGTGTCCCCTCTTCTTCATGTCTCTTCTACATCAACATGTGTCCCCTCTTCTTCATGTCTCTTCTTCATCAACATGTGTCCCCTCTTCTTCATGTCTCTTCTACATCAACATGTGTCCCCTCTTCTTCATGTCTCTTCTACATCACATGTGTCCCCCTTCTTCATGTCTCTTCTACATCAACATGTGTCCCCTCTTCTTCATGTCTCTTCTACATCAACATGTGTCCCCTCTTCTTCATGTCTCTTCTACATCAACATGTGTCCCCTCTTCTTCATGTCTCTTCTACATCAACATGTGTCCCCTCTTCTTCATGTCTCTTCTACATCAACATGTGTCCCCTCTTCTCCATGTCTCTTCTACATCAACATGTGTCCCCTCTTCTTCATGTCTCTTCTACATCAACATGTGTCCCCTCTTCTTCATGTCTCTTCTACATCAACATGTGTCCCCTCTTCTTCATGTCTCTTCTACATCAAATGTGTCCCCTCTTCTTCATGTCTCTTCTACATCAAACATGTGTCCCTCTTCTTCATGTCTCTTCTACATCAACATGTGTCCCCTCTTCTTCATGTTCTTCTACATCAACATGTGTCCCCTCTTCTTCATGTCTCTTCTACATCAACATGGTCCCCCCTCTCTTCTTCATGTCTCTTCTACATCAAACATGTGTCCCCTCTTCTCCATGTCTCTCTACATGCAACATGTGTCCCTCTTCTCATGTCTCTTCTACACTCAACATGTGTCCCCTCTTCTTCATGTCTCTTCTACATCAACATTGTGTCCCCTCTTCTTCATGTCTCTTCTTCATCAACATGTGTCCCCTCTTCTTCATGTCTTTCTACATCAACATGTGTCCCCTCTTCTTCATGTCTCTTCTACATCAACATGTGTCCCCTTCTCTTCATGTCTCTTCTACATCAACATGTGTCCCCTCTTCTTCATGTCTCTTCTACATCAACATGTGTCCCCTCTTCTTCATGTCTCTTCTACATCAACATGTGTCCCCTCTTCTCCTGTCTCTTCTACATCAACATGTGTCCCCTCTTCTTCATGTCTCTTCTACATCAACATGTGTCCCCTCTTCTTCATGTCTCTTCTACATCAACATGTGTCCCCTCTTCTTCATGTCTCTTTACATCAACATGTGTCCCCTCTTCTTCATGTCTCTTCTACATCAACATGTGTCCCCTCTTCTTCATGTTCCTTCTACATCAACATGTGTCCCCTCTTCTTCATGTCTCTTCTACATCAACATGTGTCCCCTCTTCTTCATGTCTCTTCTACATCAACATGTGTCCCCTCTTCTTCATGTCTCTTCTACATCAACATGTGTCCCCTCTTCTCCATGTCTCTTCTACATCAACATGTGTCCCCTCTTCTTCATGTCTCTTCTACATCAACATGTGTCCCCTCTGTGGAAAGAGACTCTGAAAGTTTCAGGAACAAAGATTCTCTCTCTTTTTGATCCATTTCTATAAAAACCTGTCTGAAAATGAGCTGATCAGATTTTGGCCACTTTATGATGTCATCACGATGTTTTGTCTTGTGTAACCATTAGCCAATCAGCAACCAAGGTAACCCCCCCCCCTTATCACCTGAATCTCCTCCTAGAGCTCCATTGAGTTCTTTGTAACCAAATGTCTCTCATACCTCATTCACACCAACGCAACTCCGCTTCAAGCTCCGGAGCTTTTCAGGTTCAGAACCGGTTCTTCGGTTTAGCTCCGGCTCTTTTCACACCGCCCAGAGTCCGACTGGTGCTGCGTCATTGCGTCATCGTTTGCGTCATGACGTAACCGTTTGCGTGCCTGCTTCATAAAGCCAAACCACACGGAAACCCCTCACAGCTGACACCGACAACAACAACAATGGCCGATTGTGCTCCAGCTTCCTCTGAACCTCTTCGGAAGACCAGATCCCCAGCAGGCAGCTGGTCTCTTCAGTGGACCACTGCTGCTTGTTAAGTTTCTCCATCGTTGTGAACAAGCTGGATACAACGCGGGCTTGTTGTTGTTGTTCAGGAGTTGATCCCTCCCCCTCCCCCTCCCCCGCCTCGACGTAAGCGTGACGTCTGCGGTGCTTTTGCTCTGGCCGGACAATTTTTTGGTGCTTGAAATGAACCGGATTCCGGAGCTAAGAGGCTGCTCCGCTGCGGTGTGAAGAGGAAAACCCGGTGCTTTTCAAGCTCCAGCTCCGAACCGGCCCCGAAACACCGTTGGTGTGAATGAGGTATCAGAGGGGCGTGGGCAGGGGCTCCTTATTTTCATCTAAAGTAACAGACAGAGAATCAGCACTTTGGAAACAGGGCTGAAACAGAGGGGATTATGGGTAATGCTACAATGATCTGTTTGGTGTTTCAGCCAATCAGAGACAGGCTCTGGATATATCTGAGACCTGATGAAAAACAGTATCATAGGGGACCTTTAATGATATGTTTGTTTCCGTGCAGATGAGCTGGAGATGCTGTCGGAGGCCAGAGCTCGACTGGCCAACACTCAGGGCAAGAAAGCCAAGAGGAAGGCCAGAGAGAAGCAGCTGGAGGAGGCCAGGTCAGAGACCACTGCATCACAACGTCTTTGGATTTAGGGATATAGGAGTTACTAGACAAGTGCAGTGTCACAGATACACAGAATGAACACAAATAACAAAATATACATGGAGACAAAAACAGTGTGTGCGTTTGAGAGACAAAAAGAGAGTAAAATATGACTCAATTATAATGATATGAGTAACAATATAATAGTCATGTATCCTAGGGGGGGGGGGGCATGTAAATAGTAGCAGGACCTTAACGGAGTAGAAAGGGGTGGTACATCTATCAATGTATGGGATCATAACTTCTTAATAATCGTAATTATTAGGGATGGGAATCATTTAATCGAACATTAATTATTGAGGGTGCCTAAGTTGATTACATTATCAAATTGATTAATTAAATGTATTCAACAGCGCCATTTTAAATAGCTTGAGAAAAATATCAAAGTAAACATGGTTTGGTTTCTATATCTATTTGAGCATTTATTTAAAATTAAACTTTTTTTATAGGATATGTAAATTCGGTTAACCTTTTTTTGGGGGGTCGAATATAAATCTGCGTTGAAGTTCCCGTCTCTAGTAATGATATCATTCTTCTCTCTGCTCACCGCGGGGTGCAAACCTGAGGAAACTCATTCCTAGTCTTGTAATGTTATCGTACAAAGCCATGTCTTTTGAATACATGTGTGGACGGTGTTTGACATTTTACAAATCACACAAATTATTTTTATGTTCACACAAATGTTATTCAGACAAATCTCACCCCATACACCCGGGTCCTTTATTTACACCTAGAGTTTTCCCTCTAAAGGGGGTTTAGCATGAAACACTTGAAATAACTAAAGGACAAGTTAAACAAGTAAGTAGAAAGAAAGTGAAACGGTTTCTGAGCGATGATTGAGAGCTCAACGTTCAGGGTTCCTACGGTCATTAAAAACCTGGGAAAGTCATGGAAATTCAAAATGCTAATTCCAGGCCCTGGAAAAGTTATGGAAAACAATATCTTTCCCAAAGTTTTGGAAATTTAACTAAAGTTGCATCAAATATAATTGATACTTTAGCTAATCGCCGAAATAGTAATACTATACTGATAATAAATACTGTATCGTATAGTAATGAAACGTAAAATGGCATTTATCTGATGAGGTGTTTCGCTGGTGAGAGATTTGAGTTGCTTTAGTGCAACTTTTTCATACCAAGGACACTTAACCAATAAAAAAAACACTCGCGGACCACCTAACTCCACAAATATCCCAAAACACATCGTTTTTCTAGAACAGATTACAAATTGCCTGAAAATGGTACGAACAGGTGGCAACATGTGTGACGAAGGTGTTGCCCTGGGCTGTATCATGCAACAGAAGGTGAAACTTAAGCTCGCTCCATTGCGGAGATATTCCCGCGAGAGTGCGGAAAACTTAAATGTATTTATTTATTTCAAATGTGAAATGTTACCAATATACTCACGGACCACTAGGGGGCGCTCACGGACCACACTTTGAGAAGCACTGCTCGAGCGTGTAGAAGCCAGTAAGCCTATTTGATTTGTGTTGGATCGGCTCAACATGTTTCAGACCTTATTCCTGTTCCATGTTAAAATAAACCATTTTCAGTGGAACGCTGAGAAAGAGTCATTGTTTTGGTCATGGAAAATGAGGTGAAGGTCCTGGAAGTCATGGAAAATGAGGTGAAGGTCCTGGAAGTCATGGAGAATGAGGTGAAGGTCCTGGAAGTCATGGAGAATGAGGTGAAGGTCCTGGAGAAGTCATGGAAAATTAGGTAAAGTTCCTAGAAGTCATGGAAAATTAGGTAAAGTTCCTAGAAGTCATGGAAAATTAGGTAAAGTTCCTGGAGAAGTCATGGAAAATTAGGTAAAGGTCCTGGAAGTCATGGAGAATGAGGTGAAGGTCCTGGAGAAGTCATGGGAAATTAGGTAAAGGTCCTGGAGAAGTCATGGAAAATTAGGTAAAGGTCATGGAGAAGTCATGGGAAATTAGGTAAAGTTCCTGGAGAAGTCATGAAAAATTAGGTAAAGGTCATGGAGAAGTCATGGAAAATTAGGTAAAGGTCCTGGAGAAGTCATGGAAAATTAGGTAAAGGTCCTGGAGAAGTCATGGAAAATTAGGTAAAGTTCCTAGAAGTCATGGAAAATTAGGTAAAGGTCCTGGAAGTCATGGAGAATGAGGTGAAGGTCCTGGAGAAGTCATGGAAAATTAGGTAAAGGTCCTGGAGAAGTCATGGAGAATGAGGTGAAGGTCCTGGAGAAGTCATGGAAAATTAGGTAAAGGTCCTGGAGAAGTCATGGAAAATTAGGTGAAGGTCCTGGAGAAGTCATGGAAAATTAGGTAAAGGTCATGGAGAAGTCATGGAAAATTAGGTAAAGGTCCTGGAGAAGTCATGGAAAATTAGGTAAAGGTCATGGAGAAGTCATGGGAAATTAGGTTAATTTCCTAGAAGTCATGGAAAATTAGGTAAAGGTCCTGGAGAAATCATGGGAAATTAGGTTAATTTCCTAGAAGTCATGGAAAATTAGGTAAAGGTCCTGGAGAAGTCATGGAAAATTAGGTAAAGGTCCTGGAAGTCATGGAAAATTAGGTAAAGGTCATGGAGAAGTCATGGAAAATTAGGTAAAGGTCCTGGAGAAGTCATGGAAAATTAGGTAAAGGTCCTGGAAGTCATGGAAAATTAGGTAAAGGTCCTGGAAAAGTCTTGGAAAATTAGGTAAAGGTCCTGGAGAAGTCATGGAAAATTAGGTAAAGGTCCTGGAGAAGTCATGGAAAATTAGGTAAAGGTCCTGGAGAAGTCATGGAAAATTAGGTAAAGGTCCTGGAAGTCATGAAAAATTAGGTAAAGGTCATGGAGAAGTCATGAACAATTAGGTAAAGGTCCTGGAAGTCATGGAAAATTAGGTAAAGGTCCTGGAGAAGTCATGGAAAATTAGGTAAAGGTCCTGGAAGTCATGGAAAATTAGGTAAAGGTCATGGAGAAGTCATGACAAATTAGGTAAAGGTCCTGGAAGTCATGGAAAATTAGGTAAAGGTCCTGGAGAAGTCATAGAAAATTAGGTAAAGGTCCTGGAGAAGTCATGGAAAATTAGGTAAAGGTCATGGAAAATTAGGTAAAGGTCCTGGAAGTCATGGAAAATTAGGTAAAGGTCCTGGAAGTCATGGAAAATTAGGTAAAGGTCATGGAGAAGTCATGGAAAATTAGGTAACGGTCCTGGAGAAGTCATGGACAATTAGTTAAAGGTCCTGGAAGTCATGGGAAATTAGTTAAAGGTCCTGGAAGTCATGGAACATTAGGTAAAGGTCCTGGAGAAGTCATGGAAAATTAGGTGAAGGTCCTGGAAGTCATGGAAAATTAGGTAAAGGTCCTGGAGAAGTCATGGAAAATGAGGTGAAGGTCCTGGAAGTCATGGAAAATTAGGTGAAGGTCCTGGAAGTCATGGAAAATTAGGTAAAGGTCCTGGAGAAGTCATGGAAAATTAGGTAAAGGTCCTGGAGAAGTCATGGACAATTAGGTATAGGTCCTGGAGAAGTCATGGAAAATTAGGTATAGGTCCTGGAGAAGTCATGGAAAATTAGGTAAAGGTCCTGGAGAAGTCATGGAAAATTAGGTAAAGGTCCTGGAGAAGTCATGGAAAATTAGGTAAAGGTCCTGGAGAAGTCATGGAAAATTAGGCAAAGGTCCTGGAAGTCATGGAAAATTAGGTAAAGGTCCTGGAGAAGTCATGGAAAATGAGGTGAAGGTCCTGGAGAAGTCATGGAAAATTAGGTAAAGGTCCTGGAGAAGTCATGGAAAATGAGGTAAAGGTCCTGGAGAAGTCATGGAAAATTAGGTAAAGGTCCTGGAGAAGTCATGGAAAATTAGGTAAAGTTCCTAGAAGTCATGGAAAATTAGGTAAAGGTCCTGGAGAAGTCATGGAAAATTAGGTAAAGGTCCTGGAGAAGTCATGGAAAATTAGGTAAAGTTCCTAGAAGTTTATGGAAAATTAGTTAAAGGTCCTGGAAGTCATGGAGAATGAGGTGAAGGTCCTGGAGAAGTCATGGAAAATTAGGTAAAGGTCCTGGAGAAGTCATGGAAAATTAGGTGAAGGTCCTGGAGAAGTCATGGAAAATTAGGTAAAGGTCATGGAGAAGTCATGGAAAATTAGGTAAAGGTCCTGGAGAAGTAATGGAAAATTAGGTAAAGGTCATGGAGAAGTCATGGAAAATTAGGTAAAGGTCCTGGAGAAATCATGGGAAATTAGGTTAATTTCCTAGAAGTCATGGAAAATTAGGTAAAGGTCCTGGAGAAGTCATGGAAAATTAGGTAAAGGTCCTGGAAGTCATGGAAAATTAGGTAAAGGTCCTGGAGAAGTCATGGAAAATTAGGTAAAGGTCCTGGAGAAGTCATGGAAAATTAGGTAAAGGTCCTGGAGAAGTCATGGAAAATGAGGTAAAGGTCCTGGAGAAGTCATGAAAAATTAGGTAAAGGTCCTGGAAGTCATGACAAATTAGGTAAAGGTCCTGGAAGTCATGGAAAATTAGGTAAAGGTCCTGGAGAAGTCATGGAAAATTAGGTAAAGGTCCTGGAGAAGTCATGGAAAATTAGGTAAAGGTCATGGAAGTCATGGGAAATTAGGTAAAGGTCCTGGAAGTCATGGAAAATTAGGTAAAGGTCCTGGAAGTCATGGAAAATTAGGTAAAGGTCATGGAGAAGTCATGGAAAATTAGGTAACGGTCCTGGAGAAGTCATGGACAATTAGTTAAAGGTCCTGGAAGTCATGGGAAATTAGTTAAAGGTCCTGGAAGTCATGGAACATTAGGTAAAGGTCCTGGAGAAGTCATGGAAAATTAGGTGAAGGTCCTGAAAGTCATGGAAAATTAGGTAAAGGTCCTGGAGAAGTCATGGAAAATGAGGTGAAGGTCCTGGAAGTCATGGAAAATTAGGTGAAGGTCCTGGAAGTCATGGAAAATTAGGTAAAGGTCCTGGAGAAGTCATGGAAAATTAGGTAAAGGTCCTGGAGAAGTCA